AAGACAATAAGTGTTGACACAAATCATCGCCCAATCGGTCCAAAGAGTCTTTCGGATAGACTTTTTGTGCATTCATTGTATGACTACTTCTTGCGGTCATTCCTCTCACCACTTATGAGACAATACTTTGCAATCCATTGACGACTTGTTTCACTAAAACCTGAATACAAATAATGAAAACATTATTAAAAACTAATTAAACAGTAATTCATTGAAATAAAGCCAATAATAATGAATAGTTTCATGACTTACCGATACTATTGTGGTGACACTCAGACTACCGGTGCTGTGGATGGTGTCTATTGTGGTGACACTGAGACTACCGGTGCTGTGATGGTGTCTATTGTGGTGACACACTCTCAACGGGTGTTTCACTTGTATTCACACAATAACTATCACTTCATATGAATAGCAAACCAATGATTGAATCAAACGTTTGATTAGTAAATGACACGAAATGTAAACACTGTTTGCAAACACATTGTCACACATGTGGTGATTGGCCTACAAAACAGGTTTGAAAATAAAGTGACACTACTGGCGGTACATTTGAATTTGAAACTATGTTTTTATTTATAATTTATAATAAGTTATAGTCTACAATTTAAAGTTATACTAAATTAAAAATAAAAATATGTTTGTTAATCATTATACTCAATAAACTCTAAAATATACAAAATTACACCATGATATATCAAATATTTCATATATTTTAAGTACAGTAATATATTCTTATAATAAAATTGTCATTAGATTAAATAATTACAATTTCTATACTAATATTTAGGCAATAATTTGAATGTTCATTATATTAGGATTATTTTTATACAAATCCTCTAATATCTGGTCATTATATTTAGAGACACCTCTGAGTCTAATGTATTGAATATTCTTGAGTCTCGGCAATGACTTCAACACAACATTTGTAATGAAAATGTTTTCCACACTTAAGTACAAAAGTTTGGGAAACTGTTGGCAAAAGTTTGCCAAACATTTGATAAAGAATTTTGACTCATATGTGATATAATTAGTGAAATCATTGACATCTAAATACAGCGTTAAATGTGTGATACGTTTGCACTCATTACCAGAATTATTAGGTTTAATGTCTTTAAACAAATATTTGTTAATTTCGAGTCGTTTTAATTGTTTGAAGTTTTCGTTCACTGTTTTCATTAGCATTTCAAACGATTTGTCCCAATCCTTGTCCGCATGAAGTGATAGACTCTTGATTTTGGGACAATTGATACCGATTTGTGACAAGTGGTGACCAATTAGATCATGCGATGAGTTATTCTCACATTTAATCTTCAGATCAATTAATGCCCGCATTTGTGACAAACCAGTCATCAGTATGTCGACTGACTTTGCATTACAGGTCCCATCAATAGTCACGTCAATTGATTTCATGATATCCTTATAGTTGTCCACAAATACCACAAAATCTTTCGCGACTTCACTGCTGTATTCAAATCTCAAAGTCTGTAATCTCTTAAACAAAACCTCATTCTTATTACCACTCAATACATACGACAACTGATTGCCCCTTAAGTCAGGAATAAATTTAATGAGATTTTTGCATAACTTTAGGTTACTTTTGACACGAGTCTCGACATCAGTATCCATATGCGACCACTCAATGGATTTCAATTGTTTAGCAAACTTTGCGAAAAACATATCAATTGTTTGGGAATTTATCACTAATAGTGAGTGAATGTAAATGTCATTCAAATGACTGCAGTGTTTGATCATTAAGTCAAACATCCATTTCTGGGACCCAGTCATCAAATATTCAATTCTCGTAATGTTAGCACACTTTGTGAATATTAATTCATACGTTTTCTTAGACACTACCAGTCCCCTCGACATGTCTCTAATAATGAGCTCCCGTTGCGACTTATATACCAATCGCTGCCACTGTTTGGACACACATTCATACCTAAATCGGCCCTCAAATGACAGGTAACTCAGTATAACTCCACAGAAATCATCACCAAATCTGTCCAAAGAGTCTTTGGTATAGACTTTCGCTTCATATGTCTGACCACTTGTTGGCACCATTTCTCCCCCATTAATAAGTTTGCTATAAATTGATCCCATATTTAACACAAATTAAATAAATGTTTTCAACTAAACATAACTCAAAGAAATATACGGTAATAGTATTATTGTGGACTCCACGTAATCATATCTTATCATATTTAGTCGTATCATCATATATGACATAATCATACAATATGCTTACAGTACAGTGATTGCACAATTGAATTGAAATCTTATCTAACATTATTATATAAATAAATAGGAATTTCAATACAGGACTTATTCATATACTGTACTAGTAAATGTAGTATTTTATTTCAATAAACATTGTGTGTGTCTATAGTATAGACTCTATACAGTTTTATAAAAATTTATTCATATAATAAGGATTCTTAATTATAGTTTATACAAATTATATTATTAGTTAGTTCTCAAGTTAATTATTTTTCCCATACTTTACAATCCATTACATAAGAAATAACATAATTTACATCATAGAGTACTTAGAAATAGAGTTAACTTATAAACATCAATTGATTACAAGATTATAATAATCGGAATTACAGTTAAATTAAGTGAAAGTGAGTTCTAGTATATATATATAAATAGCAGTAATAAAGTTGTGTTTTTCCAGAACCTATCCATAATTTTTTCTATTAATCAAAATCTCAACAATTTTGGGCGAATTCTGGATCAGATTCTTGAGCGCTATTTGCTTGAAGTCTTCACTCCCATAGAGTTTAATAGTCTGAATATCGCTCATCCGACACATACTACTCAACACAGTATCCGTAATCCTGGTCATCGAGATGTCTAAATACTGGAGTCGCGGCAAATGTCTGCGAATATCATCGAAAAATGAATTCTTCAGAATGTCTGAATATCGCTCATCCGACACATACTACTCAACACAGTATCCGTAATCCTGGTCATCGAGATGTCTAAATACTGGAGTCGCGGCAAATGTCTGCGAATATCATCGAAAAATGAATTCTTCAGAATATTCTCTATAAGAATCGTTAAATGAGTCAATCGTTTGCATAGATTCAGGGAATCGCTGGTTAACGCGAATTCTCTCCAATCCCTGCAATAGGATATGAATACTAAACGCTGTAATCGTTTGAAGTTAGCATTAATGCCGCCAATCATGGCATACATCTCGGCGTTAGTCTTGGTGTTGATAATCACCGAAAAGCGCTTAAGTCTACGACAGTTGAGTCCAATTTGCGGCAAATAGTTCACTACAAACCCGGTGTTGTAGTCCGTGGGACGGATGTACACAATCTGTAAGTCAGTTAATGTCCGCATTCGTGACAAACCACTCATCAGTGTCTCAATGGACTCTTCATTACAATTGTTACAAATAGTCACATGAATTGATTGAATAGTATTTCTATAGCTATCGACAAAACTTGCGAAATACTCGGCGTCTGAATGCGTGTAAACGACGACTAGTTTCCGTAGTTTGGGAAACAAAGTCTCGTTTTCATTATTATATAATGTGTCGAAAATGTTTAAATTACTTATAGAGCTGTGATATAAGTCTATTTGCGTGATATTAGGGCACAGTTTAAGCTGCGGTTCAATGGACTGCAACCAAATTGACTTGTATTTCAGTTTACTTACACTAATATATACGCGAATGGATTGCAATTGTTTGGCAAACTTCGCGAAAAACTTGTCAATCAATTTGATACTTAGGCCGAAGTCTATGTCAATGATAATAGCGTTCAAACGATTGCAGTGTTTGATAATCGCCTCAAACACTGTGTTATTGAACCGGAATTTGCTGTTAGTTTTCGTGAATTCAATTCTTGTGATATTTTCGCACTTTTTCAGTATTTGTACAAATGATTTGAGAGTTATTTTGCGATTAAAACTTTTATCAAATGTGAATGAAGTTTGTGTCTCATATATGCATCGCTGGCACTGTTTGGACAGACATTCGCATCGGAATCGGTCCTCAAATGATAGGTAACTCAACAGGACTTCACATAAATCGTCACCAAATCTGTCAAATGAGTCTTTACTATAAGATATTTTTTTGTCATTTTCTGAACACATTTTCTCATTATTATTACCCATTGTGTTATAAAAATTAGATTTTCACACAAATACACAATTAATTAATTAAAAATATTAAACATATGGAAACAATTGTTTTAAATCTAAAAACAATCACATTGTAATAAATATTATTGGTATAATGAATTATTTATTATTCATAAATATTTTTACACATCAAAAATCAAATGAACAAAAAAAAATTATTATTAATAATAATATAAAAGTGGTACAAAATATTTTTAAAAATTGAAAGTATTCTGTTTATCATATAATAGTATTCTGTTTGTCTATATTATGTTCATATTAAGTATAATGGAGTTTAATATTATTGAGAATATTCCCTATACTATATAAACAACTTAACTGCATGTGAACAGTGAGCCTATTATGAGGTGTGGGTTAACACTGTTTTCAATGCGAGAGTAGAATCCATACAATTCACGAAACGAGTGATAAAGTGCTTCCGTCTCACGAATACTACACAAACAATAAGTTATTACAGAATATTCTGTAATACAGTATATCATAGATCTGTATGCAATTCATGAAATGAATACAAGTGTGTTTAAGACTTAAACTTTAAGTGTGTTAAGCAAGAAAATATCGTATGAGTTCACCTGATATACAATTTAAATGATTTAATAGTTATAGAGATTATAAAATATTAGAGAATTATGATACAAATATAGGTATAATTTGAAGTTTTATTAACGAATTTGGTTTTATTTACGGTATTCATTTCAAAATTATTTTTATGGCTAATTAAATACAGTAACATATTGTTGTCATTCGTGATAAGAAAATTAATTTTTTGATTAACATTTAATGCATTGAATACATGTGACTATGAATTGAATACATTGTTTAGTGGTTAATAAGTATTGTTCACAAAATTAAGTTTTATAAATGCAATTGGAAAAATGTTTCACTAATACTGTACAATACTTTATGCTTTGATTTAACACAATATAAGAAAATAATAATAAAAATTAGAGAGAGAGAGAGAGAGAGAACGAGAGAGAGAGAGAGAGAGCGCGAGCGAGAGAGAACGAGAGAGAGAGAG